GATTTTACTATTTAAGCTTGTAGTGCATATCATTAAAAATCAAAAATAATATCAGTTCGAGTTATCATAAACATAGACTTGCAGACTATATAAAATTTGCAACAAATACATTTATTAAACTTTTTATCGTATATATGTCGTTGTGAAGTGCTTCTCTTGATTCATTTTTCATTTTTGAACACCTGAGGGTGTGTTTTGAAAGCAAACTACGACCGGTTTCGTCCTTGCTTAAGGGACTCATCAGGTAGCTTTATTTTGACAGCTATTCAAATGATCGATTGATCATAAATAAACTGCTCAATCTATACAGAAATCAAAGAATTAACAACATTTGGACTAAATCTAACTGTTGAATAATTCATTTGACCGATAGATACCTTAATAAAGGGTGTGTTTTGAAAGCAAACTACGACCGGTTTCGTCCTTGCTGAAGGGACTCATCAGGTTGCTTTATTTTGATATCTGTACGAAATAAGTTCGCTGAGATCAATGAACGTTGGAAGTACTGCTTTTTTTATATGTTGAATAATTGAATTTGTGGTAGAAAACAAAGTTTTTGAATGAGAGGTTTCTGGATAGCTGATGGAGATAGTTTCGGATAAAACTTTTCATAGGTTCAGAATAGGATTTCCGATAGTTCAGTTGGTTTTTTTTATGGCTTGCTGAAATCTATTTCTAATCGGGGGTTTCTGATAAAAATGTTTATGACATCAATGAATTTGGATTTTTAGTTCTTCTTCTAGTTTATCTTTTGTTGGATGTTGAAGTTTGGTTGAATATGTAACATTCATCTCTTGTTTTCGTAATATCTACGTGTTTGTTTTGTGTGGATTTTGGCTTGTTTTTGGATAGTCCAGCGGATGCGATCATCTTTTGCCCAGGGTTCGGATCTTTCTTTAAGAGCAAGTGTGATATAGGATGATTTGTTCGCAATAGAGAGATATTTATTTTGTTTTTATAAATAACAATACGACGGAGGAAAAGACTTTAGTCATTGGCTGGTTAGATTTGCTTGATTGTTTTCTGGTTGTTCACCAGCCTCATGTTGCGTGTTGTTTTCTGGGTTGCCGCTTGCAAGTGGAATATGTTTGATCGCGTTGGCCATCAATTCACGTTTTATGTTTTGATTTAGATAAGTTCCTACCATAAGAGCAGTATTGATAACTTCTGTTCCATGAAAAACACTGTTCCATAGTTCATGAATACGACGGTGATTGTTCGCGAGTCTTTTTTCATGTCTTCGATGAATGATGAGACGTTTTCTTGTTGTTAATTCGTTGTTATCTATTGTTTTAATAACCTGATTTTGCAATTTTTTGTCCTCAGGTAGATGGGTAGTTGACCTTTTCATTTTTATATTGTGTGCTGTATCTGTTGATGTTGTCAATAATTGATGACGTAAGTAACCGAAGTCGTCAGAGTTATTGAGCATAGGCAAAATGAAATGCTTCGATAAATATTTACTGAATAATATGGTCAGTCGCCAATCGATATGTTTCGGCGGGTACCTATAATTCAGATTCAAAGAATGAGAAATTCAAATGAATACCTGAAACTTACCTATTATAAAGAAACATGAGTTTCATTTGCCGTATTTCTTCTTCGAATTGAGATAAGCTTGTTGAATAACGAATAGCTCTTGTAATAGCAGTATCAACAGTGTTTCGAAAAACATGAGTAGGATGATCTGATCCAAATGGTACGACATATGGCTCAGCTGCTTCTTTATGATACACTGAAGTTTGTAAAGTTCCGTTATTGTTCTCAATGAATACATCAAGAAATGGAATGCTTCTACCGATTTGTCGCACTAGTTTAATATTTGGATGAAAATTGTTCGCTTGATCTAACATTTGATCGATAGATTCGATTGATTCGTTCGAAGTAAAGAAAATATCGTCAACATATCTAAAATGAGACATAGTAGTCAAGGTGTATAATTTTATGAACGATGTTAAATACCGGCCATATATCTCATTGGATATATTCAGTCGGTTAACAAGTTGTTTCTCCCATTTCCACATGAAAATATTAGCTAGAGTCAAAGTAAATGCTGAACCCATTGCACCACCAATGACTTGTCGATAGAATTTCTTCTCATAAGCAAAAACATTTTCTTTAATGACAATAAGAGCTAACTTTCGAATAATATCGATCGGAATATTTTGAACTTTTTGATAGCCATGTTGAACGAGAAATTCAATTAGAATATCAAGTGATTCTTCTTGTGGTAACATTGTATATAAATCTGTAATATCAAATGTGCACAAATAAGTTTTCGATTTCAGATACCCATTTGTTGTATATGCTTCTAAACGATGAATCAAATCAACTCCATCAATAATTGTGGTCGAACGTGCATGTTTATCAAAAATTGGACGGATTAATTTATCCAGAAACTTGGAAATTCCTGTCGTTGGCATATTCATGGAAGATACAATAGGCCGCAATGGTGTTCCTATCTAGTAAAATGAATTGAATAGAGATACGAATCAAAGATTAGAAATGAATTACCTTGTGAGGTTTAGGAATAAAATATAAATAAGCTAACTGAACTTTTTCTCGTTTTGGTATCATTTTATCTAGTTGCCACGATAGAATATATTTTTTTGAGCGAAGATCATTGAGTAAAATAATAACTTTATCAAATACACTCCATAACGGATTAGAATCTAATTCAATATAAGCACCAGTTTTTTTCCGATAAGCTTCTGCTTTCTTTTCATAATCATCTGAATTACCAATATGAAAAATTCCACTTTTATCTGTCTCGCGAAGAATATAGTTTCCTTTCTTTAGTCTATATTGAATTGATTTCATTAGTTTAAATTCTTTTCGTGCTTGGTAGATATTGAGATAAGATAATGGAGTCATATATTGTTGATGTAGATTTGTTTGCAATTGTTGAGAAAATTCTCTGATAATTGTTGCTGTTAGTGGAATATGATGGTCACGGATAAGATAACGGGTTACCACGTTCATAATGTTCTTATGTTCTTGTTGTACATGTTTTTCTTGATATTTATAAGAATGAAGAAAACTTTGATTTGATCTGATATAATTAGGTCCTTGAAATAGAAAAAGCATCAGGACATGAATATATAAGAATAAATGAACGGCTGAGATAATACTATAAGTTAAAGATATCTACTTACCACTTTGAGAAAGATAATCTAATTGAAGTCTATTCAATGATACTTTAGGAACGTCGATAATAATTTGTGGATAAACATCGACTATTTGTTGTTTCGATAATAAATGACGACGATGCTGACGTACTAATGTTACATGAACACACGATTCTTTGTAACGAATTTGACGTATTAATCGATTGGTGTGATGACTCAAATAGCATTTCAATAAGGTCATCAAAATATTTGATTGAGTATCTTCATGATCTGAACTTATTTGTATAAGTTTAGACTCAAACATATCGATTTCCGTTTGATACAAATTTTCATAATGTTTCAGTTTCAATTCATATTTTTTCAAGTGATCATTAAGTTTTCGACGTTTTAATTCTTGCATAATTTTATTAGCTTCATTTCCAAATAAATTTTGATATTTAGCTATTGGAATATCATCGAATGCTTTTGGCAATGTATGACATAAGATTTGTTGTTCAAATATAGTCAAATCTTCGAATATTTTCAGTTGTTTCTTACGGATTGTACTCATTTCATCAATCGCTTGATACTAGACAGCATAAAACGATAATAGGAAGGATCCGATGTGTTATTCTTACTTGTACTTCAGTTAAGTGATAAGAAGATAATTGGTTTAATAATCGTTTTTCATAGATAATGTCTTTTAACTTATTTTTTTGATAGTTGACTGTTCTCACTAAATCAATATGATGTAAACGAACAAAGTCTTTCAATCTCTGATCTATCATGTCTAGAGAATGTAATGCAGTTGGACAAGATGATGACTGTATCATTAATTCGTTTTCATGCTGATTGATTCTATTCTTTAATAATATCAAATATTCTTCTAGAGATTTTTGAATGTTATCACTTTCATTTGATTCCATTATTTGAACTAGATCATCCTATAAGTGAAAGTAATACTAGTTTTCTGAACTGAGAGAACAAATATTCAACTGACTGGCCAGATCTGATATTGTACACCCAAATCCAAATAATTTTGATATAAATAATGAATTTGATTGAGACAAAAGAGTTTGTCAAATACTACAAGTCGTGATAGTGTAAATCGCTGTTCGTTTTTCCTCTTTATAGAGCAATTTAATTGAAGGCGTAATGAATGCAAAAGTAATTTTCGTGACATCTTCAAGTATCGTGATGGCTTATAAAAACAAATATCATCATTTTCATTCAACCGATCGCTATTATTATCAATAGACGATTTCATTTCAATCTGAGAATTCTTCATCTTTTTTAAAACTCCTTCTGATATAGATGACTGGCTCATTGATATCATAGATTTATTTGTTAAATTTTGTTTTGATGAGCTTCTTTTTCGTTTGTTTAATATTTCTATTTGGCCATTCATCATCGATTCATTCAATGATTGTTCAGATATATTATGACTTTTTGTATTAATCAATGTCATAATTTCTTCTTCATTCAAACCACGTGCTCTCCATTTTCGTTTGAAACGTTGTAATTTCTTATTTCCATGACACTTAGGCTTTTTATTGCCAGTATCTGCTGATTCTGTAGCACGTATCTGTGCTGGTGATATCACTTCCACTCTCGCATTTTGATCATCCTGTAATAATAGATCCTTTTCATGAACAATATTAAATTTGTCGTTGCTTTGGGTCATTTAATTGTCACTCAGTCAACGACTAGATTTAAATCTAGAATAAATAAAGCATATTTGTATAAGTAGAGGCAATTTAAATTACAAAAGTAGTTTCATGAAAAAGAGCAAAGATAACACACCAGCAAAGCAACCATGATTGCTAGCAGAGCATGAAAGCTGTAGTATGATCTTATCACGAAACTTCTTATACATTAACTCTTTTGCACATGACTATCCGAACTCCGGAAAATACTAAAGATATAATAGTGGCTGCTGGTGTTCTTCCTATTGTAGAAGGAAGGTCTATCGATACAAGTGAATTCCAGATGGATATTGAATGGGATACTTTTGGCAAAAAGTCTCGGATACTGCACTATAATGATTGTTTTTTTTCCAGAATTCATGTAATAAATACATCTATCTTAAAATATTTTAATCTTTTCTAATCAGTGAAGTTCTATTCAAGTAAACTATATGGACAGTTAGTATTCTGTTGCAGTGAACTTTTATTTTATCTGAATATAACATGGATGAATCAATAAACCTAGCAACACATAGAATGTATAGCAAAACAAAAAATATAGGAGTACTAGTGATATGGAAAACAAATGAAGCAAGAAAATGAAAGAGAAATAGTAACACTAAAACCATGATGATCTGGTCTGATAGCTACACCACACACCAAAACAGTTATAGAAATGAACATTTCAATGAATTAATGACGTTATTCGTATTCTATTATATCAAAGTTTAGCTGTTGTGAATATGTAATATTGTGTTGTTCTTTTCCAGTTGCTTGCTCTCGAAGCTCAAGATTCCCTTCCAGATTTTTACCTGGAATATAGATATCTTTATCTACCTGAAGAAGAATGTTGTAAAAGCAAGTGAAATATAGTGGTTGTTTTCTATTTATCATGAAGACTTTTTACCTGACATCTTTCTATTCTAACAAAGCAGTTCAAAAGCTTAGCAAAAGGTGGCATGTTATCGGTTGCTTGAACTTCTTGGCTATGAATCATATCTTCTTTTTCTGTTAGTGTAGATATTTTTGTTGGAGTATCGTTCGATGATGAAGATGACTGGATAAGAGAGACGGAAAATTTCATCATATTATAATCATAGATATATTTTCTTTTAACTTACTTGAATCGATGACAACTGTTGTTGATCATTACTTTCTTGTTTTAAAGAAACATTATCTAGAAGAATCGAAAATGGTGTCGACTGAAAATGAAAGATTAGCTACTTACTGTTAGTGGTTGTTTCTTCTCGATATTGGTCTTGTGAACACTTTGACATAGTTTCTGAAAATTAGTTACATATGATAAATGATATCTGCATTGAAAAGAAAGAATCTTATTAAAAGAATAGAGCTATAGGTTTCATGCATTTGTATTTATTTTGATTAAGATATTCCAAAAGTTATTAATGATAAAAATTGAGTTTTCTTGTGCTTTAAACAATACAAGCGATCGATCTAAAAAAGAGATGGAAACAAGCTTTTTTTTCTTTCAGATTTAGTCTATAGTATCTATTTATAAATTGAGGATCAATATTCCGGCTCCAATTGCTTTTTGTTAGGTTTCTATCGAGGAATTTGTTGTACATAAAGGCTGAGCCATGTAGCCTATTATTAGTATCAGATATTGATCGACCAACAGATTCTTGCTTTAGCATATTATTATGCCAATTTTTTAAAGCTTTTTGAATACCAATATTATTGAAATAATGTAGTTTTTCTGATGTGGGAAGTCCATATTCCCCATGAAAATATAGTATTGATTGAATTCAGAATTACCCTTAAAAGCGATTTTATCGAGCAGAATAGCATCGAGCACTGATGTGGTAAATGATGTATTTCAATCAATAGTACTATTGTTTCTTGTTGTTTAAAAATCATGCTCTGTTTCAATAGAAAATTCAGTTGTTTTTCTGACTAGTACACTTAAACTATACAAAAGCATACGAGTTGTTAATCGATCTTAAAGATAAATCTCATGATTGTTAGAGGAGTAAATACTGGTAGTATGCTTAACTCTGTATTTAATTGACTTTTTCGACAAACTCTTCTTCTTGTTTTGGGTCGAAACCATTGTTTCTAAAGACAGAAAAATACAGATCATAAGAAAAACTAATAAATAATTTACTTGTTGTTTGATGAAGATGAAATGGACATGAACAATGTATAAATACAACTTGATAATTAGAATTGATCTAGAAAATTCTTTATATCATTTTTCTATTATAGAAGAGTCTTTTCAATCAGCAAAAACACATAAATCAATAAACAATGATCTTTATTCATATCAAATATCAACATCGTAGGTTTTACTCCTACATATACTCAAAACAATCTATGATAACATTGACTTCTAGTTAGATAATAGAACACTTAAAGAATGTAGGTTTATCGTAGTCAGAAGAATTTTGCAATTCTGTATTGATAAATTTGGATGTTGATTGAAATATTCTGACCAAAGGCGATCAAATTGTTGATTGAATTGACATCTTGCACCATATTCATAAACATAATTGAAATGAATTAACTGACCGTTATCATCAAAATGTTGAAGTTGATCGCATAGTTCATGTTGCATCTTAATATAATTGAACCAGTTATGACGAAATCGGTCATACATGGTTTGATCTCTTGAATAACGCATAGGATGAAGATGAAAAAAATTAAAGAAATGTTGCACATGAGTTTCAACAAATCGTAATGAGTAACCATTTGTGAGATAAGTTAATTCAAGATAAATACGCTCGAGATTAAAATCTTCGACTGATGAACAATAACAAACAGCTCGAATTAAAGCTGACCGAAGCCAATCACTGTGAACTAATTTTGAATGACCCACTACATACGGTAATGTATAACGTTTAATAAGTGGATGACGATAAATCCGACTAGATAATTCACCATTTAGATTTTCAACCAATGCATTAAAGAATTGTACATTTGTTCCAATTGATTTCTGGAATTGAACATTAGGATTTTTATCTCTGATAGTTTGTAAATAACTACCAAGTTGTTTTTCATTCGCATTATTGCATGTGAAAAAGATTTGATCTTTATATCTATGAAAAAATTAAATACAATATAGCAAAGTACTATATATACTAAGAAGATATATTACCTTCCAAAGAATTCATTGTTTGACTGAAGCTGTTTTAAGATTTCCTTTTGCCATGTAAATACATAAATATTCGACAAAGTATCTGATAATGGCATCGTATTTGGACTACCTTTTGTTAATGTATACATTTTATCTTTATAATAGAACACATTATTATAGAGGAATATATGTAATAAATTTTTAATCGTCTGAATTGTAACTTGTTCAAGTTTATTGGTTACTAAATTATCTTCCAAGAAACAACCAACTGTATCAATCATATTTTTATGCACATCCAATGTATAATAATCAGAAATTGTGATGGCACAAAACAGAGTTGTTGACTGAAGTTTACGTTTTGTAAAAATATAATCATATAATTGATACATGAAATCAGGTTCATCACGAAATGTTGTTGATGATAGGATTTTATCCACAAATGGTCGTAGTAATTCATTTAGATATTTACCAATTCTCCATGTTGCACTATGCTGCGATGTAATATAGGGTACCAACGAAATTTCATTTTCCTATTTCAAGAAGAAAAAACGTATACGTGATAGATGAAGAATAGAATAGATTCTACATTACTTTAGAAATATCCGGCAAGAAATACAGACATGGTAATTTCACTTTACTTGCATCAACTAATAATCGATTATATAAATCGATATTTATTGCTTTATGATTTTTCAATGATTCCAATAATAAATTCATAGATTCCACCATTTGTTTCAATTCAGCTTGCCATGGCTGACCATCATTTTCTTTATCTTTATTCAATAGCACCTTGTAAGCATCTGATTTTAATAAATAATCATTTGCTTTTGTTTCAAACTCTTGTAGATTTCCCAAATAGAACGTATTCTTGTTATCGGCAGTTCGTCGTAGGATGAGATTGTTCTTTTTCAAAGAATGTCGAATCGATTGAATAAGATATTTTTCATAGAGAGCCCGCTGTTGAAGATTCGAAGCTATTGGTAAGGAGAAAAGATTTGTAAATTGATCACTGATCTTCTGTTCAATTTCCATCGACAATGCAATATTAATATGATGCTTTGAAAACAGATTACTTAGTTGATGTTTTAATGGTGCATATTTTCGTTCAACAATGTCGTCCATCGAATGACAAGAAGATAATATTGATGTTTGACAAGGTGGAACATAAGTTGGTCCTCGATTTAACAATTGCAGTTGTTTTTCAGTGAATTGATGAGTAGCATCAATAATTAGAGATGATGAAAATCCACTTTTTTTCCATTTTTGATCATTTTCATTTCTATTCATCGAATCGAAATCATCATAAGAATTTCGAATATAATTGTTAATTCTATATTTGTATATCTCTCTCCATCGGCCAGTAATATTTTTCAAACGATTTTCGATCAAGTTAGTTAATGTTGTAGTCATTCCTTGATTTTGTACAAGATCACGATGGTTTCTCCACATAGCAGCTAGTTCAATATCGAACACTCGAAGACATTGATAGAATTTCGTTTCTGCTTCTGCTATTTTAATAGCCATCAAGTGTAATTTCCTGCTTTGAATGGCTTTTTCATGTTTATCGAATACTCTCGGGTCATCATCGTTTGATGTTGGCGTCAGTGTTTGCATAGAATCGAATGAATCCGGCGGTTTATTGTAGAAAACTCGATACTTCAGTTCCAATAAACTTTGTTTTGATTTTTCCACTTCAACTTTCGCAATAGAGAGACGTCTAGCAACTTCAATCTAAACAACACAAAAAATATGATCATGCTAACATTTCAGGAGATTAAAATTTTTCTCACTTGATAAGGATTCGGTTGTTCTTGGAAGTATTGACGTTGCAACATTTCTGAATCATAATCATAGTTGATTAATGCTAGTTTTAAATCTCGTTTCATTTCAAGTGGTTTTATTCCATGTGTTTGAACATAAAGTTCAATTGTTTCTTGTATGATTGATGTAAATCTGATAAAATTACTTTGTTTCTCATCGAGTTCTTTTTGATAGTATTCAATTTGTTGTTTCATTACTTGTAAATGTTGATTTAGTAGATTTTCACAAGCAATCTGTTGATCTTCTGTATCGATTTCCATAGGTGTTGTTGTTGTTGAGATACCAGCAGTATCTGTATCGTTTGTAGTTGACTTATGTTGTGTTAACATCAATGATTGGACCTGCATGGGCCAAAAACGTCGATCAACTTCAATTAAATAACATTCTGGTTCTTTCAATGTACCATTCACCGAATGTAAATATGCTTTCATGATTTCTCTGTCTATTTGAACAGTAGCTATTTGATGCATTAAAAGAGCCATCTTTTGTATGTCATTCATAGTAATAGATCTAACTGTTTTTATGATGGTTTGAGCCATATGAACGAATAATTTATTCTGTATCAATAGATATGTCGGTATTTGACATTGTTCATTTGTAGGAATATTAGTATGATCATCGTTATCAGTTATTTTCCTTTTCTTTGAACTAACAGTTGAACTGGATGTGGCATATGACCGTTGTCGTTTCTTAGTTACAGATGATTTCTCTTCATCGTCACTCGTTGTTGATAGTTGACTGAAATTTTGTGACAGAATTGCTTCTTCTTCTTCTATTTCCTACATAAAAATAAAGAAATATGCTTTGTTTTTGAATTGTTTATTTTTGTGTAGAAAACGTTTTACTTCAGTAATATTGATGTCATCACCAACTTCATCGTCGATCATTTCTTCTTCATTCGGAATTGAATTCAAATGACCAAAAATGAAGTATTTATTCAACTCTTCGATTGTATATTCAAATGTATCACTATCATCATCGATTATGTCAAAGATATCCTTGAATCCTTCGTTTGTATCTAACTAATATAGATAATATCAATAAGAAATGATTACATTTAAGAAAAGAATTTACACGTACACTGTTGTTGATGGTTGAAATTATATCATTATTTGATTCAGCCATAAATAAATCACGCGAGAACTTCTAATATCTAAAATTTTCATGAAAAAAAAATAACAAGTTGAATCAATGTCCACATATTATCTAGCATTCGTATAGATGCTTTTATTTAGATTGTTTCAAACAATATCATTGGAAAACAAATAGAAGGCAAATTTTAGTTCATCATCTGTATTCATTAGCACTCGAATTCAATGTATCCATGAATACCATTGTTCAATGATAGATAATAATCTAGAAAAATAAACGATAGAAAATAACTTTTAAACTAGAACAAAGACATTCTCGGATACAATAATGTTTCAGTCTCTATTTCTAATCTAAATTAATACTTTTCACAGGAGTGTATATAGATGTTCACATAAAGAAAAATGAAGAACAATAACAATAACAATAACAATAACAAAGGCTTGAAGGAAGATTGATCATTGAACAAATGATCGTTGTTGGCTAATGTGCGAGAGATCGAAAACCAAATTAATTGGATATAATCGTTGAGTTCGTTGAAGATACGCTCGAACTGATTCTTCTAATTCAAATCTTAATGTAGTATATAAGAATCTTTCATATCGTTCTGAGCCATCGATGCCGATTCGCATGGGTGTATTGGGTATGAATATGGCACCCCGATATTGTTGTATATATTGCTAGAATAAAACAAACAGAACGTAAATATCACGCTTCAAATTTCTAGTTTGAAATGACTATCTACATATGAAACTATGCATCGGACGGAAATGGTGATTACATATTACCTGAATTGGTGGTTCTTGATACTGTTGTGTACGTAACAATGCATTTGGATAGTTAGTCATCGTAATCAAAAAATAGCGTGACTGTGTAATTGCTGTTGTTGGTTGACCATAAATGAGTGGTCGATTTGATGAAGCCATTCTTTTTAATCGATTATCTACGATAAATAATTATTTATACTTTGATAATCGAAATTTCAAGTTTCTTTTTAATTATTGTACAACTCAAAAGTCAATATTGCTTCACTTCCATCAATATATTCTAATAGTGATACAAAGAACAAGTTCAGAAAGAAAACATTCCAGATTAGGACTTTGATAACTATGACATATATTGTATTCTATTAACAAGTGAATTCTTTATTTGATGTTCAGCTTCTCTTTGTTTTCCTCTTTGGCTCTGAACAATAGAATCGAAGTCAGGAATAAAAATAAGTTGCTTTGTATTCTCTTCAGTGTTAGATAAAAACATTTTCAGCTTACAATATATATGATCTGAGACCTGTTAAAATGATAGAGAATTATGTGCAATCTAAACTCATATTGGACGAAAGATGTACATCAGATGATTTTATTTCATAGATCATAACATGAAGGTAGATGAACAAATAAACAAAAAAAAAACGGCGGTAAAAAACAATAGAGAAAGAGAGAAAAAGCAAACTAAACTAAATTAAATATCATTGACATTACGGTTGCTGTGTTTCAATATCGGACATATCATATACATATTGAAGTGGATAAGGTCGCGATGTTCGAGATAGATAATCACGAGCTACATCTTGTAATTCAAGTCGTAAGAGATTATTTAGTAATTGTTCACGAATATTATCATTATTATTGTTGTTGTTGTTTGCACCATTTTGAGTTGGATTTGTTGTCTGTCTTTGATGTATAATCTGTGAAGATAAATTATTATAGTTTACCGGGAATTGAAATGCACGAGTATGTCGCAACAATTCAGAATTATTAGTAAGAACAAAAGTGAATGGTCGATTAGTTGTACTTGTTGATCGAACAGTTTGTAATCGTGCATTATTTTCTATTCTTCTCGATGGACGCGTACTTGATGATCGTTGATTTGATGAAGGCATCAATGTATAGATGTTATGATCTAGAATGTAAAAGAAGAAATGTTTTGAGTTCTCACAAATCTCATCTCTGGAGAAGTATTTCCAATTTTATTTTTTTGTTTTTGTAAATGCAGAAAAATCCACATTGGAGAGATGCCCTTCAGGAAACTACTATCAAAGACGCTTCAGTTCACTTTTTTCCCGGAATTAACAACGAAAAAATGAAATTTTGCGGTATTTATTTTTTATTCTATAAGTTTACAGTTCATTATAGCAGATCACAATGGAAAACAAAAACAGAAAGAACTCAATTAAGCGTCTATTTTTCTTCGCTTTGGATTTGAATCAGTCGTACTATGATTTCTACGGTGTTCAGCTGTGTCCATTGGATTCCATTGAATTAGAAATGGATGTTTAAGAAGTTTGTGCTTTTTATTAAGTTGTCTGGAATATGGCTCAGCTGTTATTCGATGCCATGGTGTAGATAGTGAGTAATCGAACATATTTTGATATTTCTTAAATGAATAAAATTCCGTTATAAATGGACTATTATTAAATGGATTATTACCGAGTGTTGTTTCACTGTGCTAGGATTAGAATCATTCTCGTCGTGTAATGATAAATTACTCATTGTAAAGTTAAATTAAATCTAGAATTGAAATAAAAAATTAATGATAATGAATTCATAGTCTTCTTCTGATTTATATCTATCAGTCTATAGGCCAATACATGATATATTTATTTATTACTGGATATTTTTCATCCGATGACAGGTTCGACTAATCAAAATAACAACACTTCAACTGTTCAACGCATCATAAATTTATTAATGAGTTGTTATTCTTCTATGGATTCATCATGTATACTCTATAAACTCGATGGAGCACTTGCTGTTGTTTGTGTATGTCGAGTGTGTAGGAATATGAGTATTTACACTGAAATATTTACAATCGATTGGCTAACTGAACAGCTTGTATCATTAATCGGTACTCATTTAGTGTACATTCATGTCTGTTTGTATGGACGCTGGTTAGCGCAACATGTCTCTTGTCATTTAAAGGAAGATTTGCATGATTCGATGACGCTGAAGATAATGGTGACATAGCCAATCATGTATGAAGATTATCAAATAATATAAAGAAAACTATCGGTCACAGTACCTAAGTTCGTATCATCTCTATTTAGTAGGTTTAAACCATGTTCACTATTCACGGCATCCTCTTAAATGGAGTGAAGAAAACCTTGACCATACACAAATCAGCTCTCGTTATTACGTCCATCAACGATGGTTACATGTGTTATATTCCTAGTATCTTCATCTGTTATGTTGCAACACTTGTGTTAGTGAAAGTAATTCATAGCAACGACCTTGATCGTCACATACTTGACCATTACTACAAAGTGTTCTGCAATGATGCTTATTCTCCATCATTTAAGTATGCTGCTGTGTAAAAATCAATATTTATCTAGAACAGTAAAAGGAATAGATATATGTTTATTATGTCAGTTATTTTCAAAGAAAAAGCTTTCAATACAACATGTTACAATAGAAAATAAAGTTCCATATAGAACTAATTCTATTATATCAGAACGGAATTGAAGTCTATGATTAATATTGGTCGATTGTTTCGTAGATAATAATATAAAATCCTAGTCATGCTACAGATTGAATAAGAGCTGTTGTTGTTCTTGCATTGGATTGATATCTGTAGGAAATACTTTTAAACTACAGACATTTATCTTTTTTTTCCTCCGAAGATCTTATCCATTTGAAGATCAAAATTTGGTGCACTGCATAAATCAGATATGCTAATAATAATGACTATTAGAGAATGAAATGTGTAGAAAGTATCTTTATTCTCGTACAACAATGTATTCTTTTCTCTAGAACGGATATAGTAAATACAGTAAACAATGAACATATACATAATATATGCACAGAAAACAAGACAAAACACAAAGACACACAGTAATTAAGCTAACTACAATGTTCAGATCTATACTTCAGAACAAAACAATTATCCAAACGAGTACTACTTTATAAAGAAAAAATGTCGTAATTAGGAATGAGGAGAGCACAAGTCTTTAGTTTGTATACCATGGCCGATCAATAATAATCATAGTATTCATTGGATTCTTATGTTCTAGATATGAATCTACATCATGTGATGATAGTGCCTTGTTGCCTTCTTCTTTTTGCAACTGTTGTGGCTCGATGTCAAGATCTTTTTCAGTATTTATAACAGGATTATTGATACCTTTATCTTCCTAAAATGAAATCGTTGTTAAGATATAATGCGTCGCAGTGAATACTTTCGATTTCTTCTTTTGACTATTTACCTGATATCGTGTAAGACTAACATAGCAACTCAGAAAGTTGACTAATGGCGGTATTTCACCATGCGCTTGATTCTCATTTAGTGTTGATGTTTTTGTTGGAGTAGTATACACTGTTTGATGTGTCTATAGAAACAGTGAGAAAACACTATCAGATAATGTCATAGATATATTTATTGTTTACTTCTTTCGGTGATTGATACAATTGATCTGCACTGTTTTGTTCAGTTGGAGTATCGTCTAAGAAAGATAAGAAAATGAGTTTTAATGAATATAAAAAATTAACTTTTCAATATTACTGGTAAGTTCTTGTTGAAATGATTGTTGTGAACTGAGAGACATGTTCTTTCAAGAAGACAGTAATTTTTTAGATTATATCTATATCAAAGAGCAAAAGAAAATTTGTTAGATTACACACGAAAAGATCCAAGAAAACTACTAATATAAAAGAGTTTGATATTGATAGGTATTCAGTTTATTTTAAATAATACAGTTCATACAATAATGAACGAAGAATATATATACAAAACAAAAAACTATGTTGATAACAACGTTCAATGGTACTTCACACAATGAGTCTAGAAGAGATAGAAAAATCATCTTGTTTTCAATAATGCAAATTACAAATATCACTTACCTTTGATTGTTGTTCTTTATTTTCATCTTTTATAGAAGTATATTCATTGTCTAAGTCAAATCTAGTAATTTTACTAGTTTTGTCACTGCTAAGCAGTCATTCACAGCATATTGAATCATTTGATTTACTATTGTCTTTTGTTTCAAATTAGAAATGAAAGACTTTGTCCCTGTTGATAGACCCAGAGATCGACTCCAACTACTTTGTGTTCGAGTTTTATCGAGAAATTCTCGAAATACATAAGCAATGGCCATTTGCAGTGACCATTTATGATTCATATCTTCCAAAGATTTACGTGAATATGAACATAATGTATCCTTGTTGTCGAATGACAAATGATCATAGTCATTTTCTAGTAAATTATCATGCCAATCCTTGAAGTAGCCTTGTACATCAATATCATTTATTTGTTGAATCAGTGTAAATGAGATCAGTTTACAAGAAATGAAATTTTCTAGTTCTTTCTTCGTGTCACCCCAGGATAAAATGACATTTGATGTATTGAAGATTATGTTCATAAGTGACCGTATCATCCAAAATAATACTGATAATTCATGAGGTAGATGACATGTTTCAATCAATAATACAATTGATTGAGGATGTATAAATTCAATTTGAATCAATGCTGGTTCATGTGTATAGTAATCACTTTCTGTATCAATAGTAAATTTAGTTGTTTTTCTAGCTAATGTGATTAAATCTTGTAGTAAAATCGTAGATGTTGATTGATTTATATGATAGATTTTATATGGACTGAGTGGCGTAAATGTTGGTAAAACACTCAAGTTCATATTTAATTGTCGTTTTCGAATATTTCTATTCATTTTTTTCCTGATCTATATAGTTAGACAAATAAATAGTTTATTATAGATAGACCATAGACCACTTACTTATTTTGTTATTTTTTTAATGAAAATTGAATATGAATATGTAAGTAAGGAAGGAAGCAAGTAATAAACTGTTATGCAAAATAGAATGACTAGATTTAATCTATAAACATGAAAAACGATACTTGAAATGTCAAAAACAAGAACGAGAACAGATGACAAATGAATCGATAGTTTATTTTATTTATTCTGAAATACAAACGAATACAGACAAGTTCTTTTACAATTTCTATTCAAAGGACAACAGATGAAACATGCACATTATTGAATTGAACATGTTGATTTTTCTCTAGCCAATAGAGAATTTAATGAATGCTGATGTTTCGTCGTAAGTTGAACTGTAGCTTTATCTTTCGATAGATTCGGATGTTGATTGAAATATTCTGACCAAAGACAATAAAATTGCTGATTGAATTGACATTTAGGACCGAATTCATAGAGATAATTCAGAAGAATTAAGCTATCATTATCATTGAATTTTTGAAGTTTATCAGACAACTCATATTGCATCGTCATATATGCAAACCAATCATGACGAAATTTGTCATACAGGGTTTGATCTTTTGTATATCGCATATCATCAACATGAAAATAGCCGAAGAAATGCTGAACATTACTTTCAACAAAAAGTAATGAATAACCATTGATCAGACAAGTTAGTTCGAGATAAATACGTTCAAGAGTAAAATCTTCGATCAATGAACAATAACAAACAGCTCGAATCAAAGCTGATCGAAACCAATCACCATGAGCTAATTTCGAATGACCCACTACATACGGTAATGTATATTTAGGAATAATTGGATGATGATACACTCGAGTGAACAATTCACCATTTAGATTTTCAACAAAAGCATTAAAAAATTGTACATTTGTTCCAATTAATTTTTGAAATTGAACATTAGGATTTTTATCTCTAATAGTTTGTAAAAAATTACCAAGTTCTTCTTCATTCCCATTATTCCATGTGAAAAAGATTTGATCTTTATATCTATGAAAAAATTAAATCCAGTAAAGTATAGAAATGGATACATGTAGAAAAGATATTACCTTCCAAAGAATTCATGTTTCGAATTTATTTCTTTCAAGATTTTCTTTTGCCATGTAAATAGAAAGATATTCGACAAAGTATCTGATAATGGCATCGTATTTGGACTACCTTTTGTTAATGTATAGATTTTATCTTTATAATAGAACACATTATTATACAGGAATATATATAGTAAATTTTTAATCGTCTGAATTGTAACTTGTTCAAGTTTATTGGTTACTAAATTATCTTCCAAGAAGTACCCCACTGTATCAATCATATTTTTATGTACATCCAATGTAAAATAATTAGAAATCCTTATACTACAAAATAAAGTAGTTGGTCGCAGATGACGTTCTACATACACATAATCGTTTAATTTTCGCATGAAATCAGGTTCATCACGAAATGTTGTTAATGATAGGATTTTATCCACAAATGGTTGTAATAATTCATTTAGATAGTTACCAATTTTCCATGTTGCACTATGCTGCGATGTAATATAGGGTACCAATGAAATTTCATTTTCCTATTTCAAGAAGAAAAAACGTATACGTGATAGATGAAGAATAGAATAAATTCTACATTACTTTAGAAATGTCCGGCAAGAAGTACAGACATGGTAATTTCACTTTACTTGCATCAACTAATAATCGATTATATAAATCGATATTTATTGCTTTATGATTTTTCAATGATTCCAATAATAAATTCATAGATTCCTCCATTTGTTTTAATTCAGCTTGCCATGGTTGGCCATCATTTTCTTTATCTTTATTCAATAGCACCTTGTAAGCATCTGATTTTAATAAATAATCATTTGCTTTTGTTTCAAACTCTTGTAGATTTCCCAAATAGAACGTATTCTTGTTATCAGCAGTTCGTCGTAGGATGAGATTGTTCTTTTTCAAAGAATGTCTAATCGATTGAATAAGATATTTTTCATAGAGAGCCCGCTGTTGAAGATTCGAAACTATTGGTGAGGAGAAAAGATTTGTAAATTGATCACTGATCTTCTGTTCAATTTCCATCGACAATGCAATATTAATATGATATTTTGAAAATAATTGGCTTAGTTGATGTTTTAATGGTGCATATTTCTTTTTAACAATATCATCGATAGATTGACCCGAAGATAATGTTGATATTTGGCAAGGTGGAACATAAGTTGGCCCCCGATTCAACAGTTGCAATTCTTTATCAGTGAATTGATGAGTAGCATCAATAATTAGAGATGATGAAAATCCCAATCGTTTCGAATTGTGCTCAACTTCATTCGTATTAATATGTTCTGAATCACCACAAACGTTTCGGAAATAATAATTCAGTCTGTAATTATAGACATCCCTCCATCGAGCAGCAATACCGGTAAAACGTTTTTCAATAAGATTCGTTAGTGTTGTAGACATTCCACGATCTTTTACAAGTTCACGATGATTTTTCCACATAGCAGCTAGTTCGCTATCGAACACTCGAAGACATTGATAGAATTTTGTTTCGGCTGCTATTATTTTAATAGCCATAAAATCTAATTTCTTGCGTTGAATTAATTTTTCATGTTTATTCAACAATTTCAGTTTTCTATCGTCATCATCCAATTTCGGCATAGATGTTTCAATTGCATCCAACGAAGAATGTGGTTTGTTATAGAAGATTCGATATTTCAATTCTAATAGTTCTCGCTTCGACTTTTCCAGTTCACGCTTTTTTTCAGAAAGACGTTTCATGATTTGAATCTAAACGATAGAAAAGAGAAAGATGTGCTATTATTTTAAACAGAATATAGATTTTTCTTTTCGCTTTTACTTGATATTCGTTCGGTTTTTCCTGTAGATATTGACGTCTCAATATTTCTGAATCATAGTCATAGTTGATCATTGCTATTTTCAGATTCCTTTTCATTTCGAGTGGTTTCACGCCATACTTTTGAACAAAACTTTGAATAGTTTGTTCGATATTCGATGTAAAACCGATCAAATTTTTTTTCTTTTCATTGAATTGATTTAGATGAAATTGAATTTTTTCATTCATTTCTATTAAACGTTGATGTAAATGTTTTTCACAATCAGCCTGTTGATCCTCAGTAACGCTAGCACCAACTGTAGTTCCCGCTGCTTTTTGTTGTGCTAACATAATTGATTGAACCTGCATAGGCCATACATGCCGGTCACCTTCGATGAGATGAGATTCAGATCTTTTTAATGTGCCCATCACAGAATGTAAATAAGCTTTCATGACTTCTCTATCTATTCGAACATTAGCTGCTTGATGTATGAATAGAGCTATTTGTTGTATATTATTTATACTAATAGAACTAGCTGTTTTTGTTATAGTTTGTGCCATATGAACAAATAATTTGTTTGTTATCGATAGATATATTGGTATTTCATTTGTTTCAGTACTGCTAATTGTAGTAGTAGGCTCATTGGTAACATCATCAGCATCATCCAGAATTATTTTTGTTTTCTTAGGACTGATATCTGGACTAGTTATAGATGTTGACCGTCGTCTTTTATGAATTATACCAGATTTCTGTTCATCTTCAGTCTTTGTTGATAATTGACTGAATTTTTGAGACAGAATAGCTTCTGTTTGTATTTCCTGAAGGACAACAAAAATTTATTTCTTTAAGAAAAAAAGAAGTGGTTTTACTTCAACAAAATTTAAATCCTTATCGAGAGTATCATCATCGTCGATCGTTTCTTCTTCATGTGCCATTGAATTTAAATGACCAGATAGGTAATATTTATTTAATTCATCATCTTCATATTCAAGTGTATCGTTGTCATCATCAATCATATCGAACATGTCATCGAAGTCTTCGACTGTACTCCACTATAAATTACAAACAAAATAGAATAAAAATATGATGATGTAAACAGAAAACAAACCTTTCTACTTACATCTATGTGTTCATTAGAATTCTCATTCACAATTGATTGTTTATCTTTATTTGTTTCAGCCATCAATAGGTTAAGCAAGATTTTTTTAATATCTGAAATGAAGATCTAATTGGTTTTCTTCATGTTCAAATGATATATTTATTCAAATACACAACAACATTTCAATTTCTTTTCTTTTCTTTTTCTAATATCCATTAGATATCTATTGTTCTGTTAAATCGAGAATATATTTTCTCGAGAAAGGTGGTGTTTGATGTTTCATGAATGCATTGATGAGTTTTTCTATTTTACCACTGAAATGTAGATTTAAATCCATTTCTTTCCCTCCTTGTTGTGTTACTGGTTTTCGTGTTGGTCGAGCTACCCCACGATGTTCTCCATGCACTTGTCGTTGACCCTGTTGATTTGTCTAAAAACAAACAGTAGAATATGACATACATTCGTTGATATGAAGAAAATCGTTACATTGTCTGGTTTCTTTAATACTTTTGTTTTCAAAAGTTTTGACAATTTAGGATTATTGAATACAATAAAACAATAATGCTTTTTATTCACTTCATCATCATTATCATCATCATCATCATCATCATCATCATCATCATCATCATCGTCATCATCATCATCCTCATTATTATTATTATTATGATTGTTGTTGTTGTTATGATTGACATTGTTCCGTGGTTCTAGTCGATCAATATTAGGTAAATCACTAACATCAGCCTCTTCTATATCACTGTCTTCAATATCCATTGGATGTCCAGTAAATAAATATAGAATAAATCTACTCAATTGTTCCGTATCGAATTCCATGAATTACTGATAATAGCTATCTAGAACAAAAATGAAATACAAAAACACTAGATTCTCAAAAGAATCAAGCTTTAGTTTATATATCTCATAGCTACATTATCAATTTTCATATGATTAGATGGATAAATATCCAAGACAAAAAAAAAACATGAAACAAGAAACAAGAAACAAATTATTGTCGTCGATGGATGTTTGATAGATCGAGAACCATACTAATTGGATAGGGTCGTCGTGTTCGTTGAAGATAAGCTCGAATTGAATGTTCCAATTCAAATCTTAAATCATTGTATAAGAATCGTTCATGTTGTTCAGAATGATCTATTCCAATATTAACCGGTCTATTTGATATGAATATGCCACTGTTACGCTGTTCAATATATTGCTACAATAAAATAAAAGAAAACATAATTTCGATCATTTCAATTTACCACGTCTGGTGCTTGTTGAAAATATGATGTATTTTGCAGTAAAGTAGAATGATTTGTTAGTGTGATGAGAAAAACTTGATCATTTCCATTTGCTGACTGTTGTGTATGTGTTCGTTGTCTATTTGATGAGGCCATTGGTTAAAATCAATAATCTACAACATCATTTCACAATCTATCATAGGTCTGTAGGAAAATATATAGAAATCAAAAGTAACAAACAATACAAGATAACACATTTATTTACATAAGAAAACAAAAAAGGATTCCGATGACTATATATGAATATTTGCATTCGTTGTGTAGTGATAAGTTGTTGACTATTTTAATAATGTTTCGGTGGCCAAGTCATTCCTTTCCGAAGCCATGTCGGTGATAATAATTCCATTGAGACGAATCTCTGAGTCTGAACTAATGATGAACGATTCGCATCAAAAGTATCTTGTTTCATGTCAATATGATTGTTTGAAGAAGACATCTACGTTCGAGTGACAAAAAAAAGTATCTAGAATAGAAATTTAATAATCGATACAAGATATTTGGATCTATTGTTTCATATAGATTCAATTTCATTTCATACATGACAATAACACGACAATATGTAATAATACACAAAATAACTAAACTGATAGAAATGTTACTGTCACTATTTAGGGATGTTGTTGTTGTTGTGGTGATGGTATTTCAATATCAGACATATCAAATACATAATGAAGTGGATACTGTCGACGAGTTCGAGAAAGATAATCACGAGCTGCGTCTCGCAATTCAATTCTTAGAAGATCATTAAGCAATTCTTCACGAGCATTAGCAGTTTGGTGATGATTGTTGGTACGATTTTGAGGCGGAACCGTAGCTTGTCTTGGTTGTGTAACCTAGAAATGATAATCATAGTTAGAATAGAAGTCTCTAAGCATAAGTCATGTAGATATTACCTGTGGTTGAAAAGCACGAGTATGTTGCAACAAATTAGGATTGTTTGTGAGAATCATGATAAATTGTCGTTGAGGTGCACTTGCTGATCGAACCACTTGCACAGTTGCACGATTATTTGTATTTCTCGATGGACGTATACTTGATGGTCGAGCATTAGTTGAAGGCATTAATGAAAAGATTCGATAGTCTAGAATATATGTCAATGTAATTGTAAATTCAGTTCATGTTTATTCTGATTTTCATCAGAAGATAAATTGAAGCATAGGACAATAATAGATCTATTATTTTGATTCTTCTCTTTGTTCTTATGGAATCTCGGATGAGATTAATAGGAACTTTGTTTATTTTTTATATAGTACAGGTTTCAAACTATATCAGTAGGTTTTTTAATTGAAATAGTAACACTAAAGCTTATCTCATGGCAATGTTCAAGACTCCAGCGCATGTTCGCATCATATGCATATCGACGACCAGGACGTTTCATAAAGTCATTGATTGCATCTTTGAATCGCTCGATCAATCCATCTTCAACTAATATTTCATGTTGTGTCCATGATGGATGTGGTGAAGCATTATTTACCATGACAGGTCTTCCTGTTGGATTATGATCATTACTGATATGAAAATACTGTAATCGATTAGCTAATTGTGCAGCTTGTATTCCTGTTCGATGTTGTTCACTGTATGGAACTGCATTCTGATTCGTATCAGTCCATATCGATTCAAGATGTCGTAAATCATTATAAGGACGACGATAAAATCTTGGTTGTGACGATGGTGAGGATATTATTTGTTGACCTTCATTAGATGAAGAAGTTGGTGGTAATACTGGTGTGGGTGTAGGTACTGTTGTTGATGTCATATTGAATGAAATATAGAGATGATCTAAAATGGACATATCTAATAATGAATGTTTTTAGACTATTTGTGAATGTTTGACATTCTCTATAAAGTTTTATTCAGTTTCATTTTTTATAAAATACATATAGAACTAGTTATGTTTTAATCTTCGGCTGAGGTCGACGTAATAGTCCTTGATACCATTCATCACCTCGAATTAACCATGGATTATTGATTGGATGATTATTACCAGTTGAATTCTTATTCAATATATTACCAATTGTATTGAGATTTGTTTCAGCATGAGTAATAAATAATGATTCAACTGTGAGTCGAAGCATTTCAGAACATGTTTCTGGTACTAAAACAACAAAATAAATGACATTTCATGCATCTATATGTGTATATTTGAATAGTATTCTTCTAACGAAACTTACAAACAGCTACAATCGTAGCATTATATAAATCAATATCTTGATTCGGTAAATCTTTATCTCGTTTTTTATTAAAATAGGACAATTGTAATCCGACTTGTCGATTGGAAAATATATAACCAGTAGATGGTTTTGGAACTGATTCAACATATTTGGTGCAATCTTCCATTTGTCGTAGATTCCAAGTAAGTTCGTCAGTAAACGAAATACCTTGAACAGATCGTTGTTCTGGTCGTTCTGATTCTTCTATTGTCATCGGTACAAATCGCCAATATTGTTGATTAGCATCCAAAAATATTTGCATAGCTACTGTACATCGTACCGAATGTTGGTAAAGTTTCATATGATCTTTTGCTGATAATCTAGAACCATGAACAAAATAGAGACAAGCATTTTTTGTATATCTTTTCATACTCATTTGATTTTCCTCTTGGTAAATCACGTACAACGTTTTCTTGTCCAATAAGAAATTCCACCATAACTCGATTGCCATGTTCACGATGTTCTACCAACAGGTAAATACAGACAGGAAAAAGAAATATATGTATCTATACTTATGAGACGATCATGTAAACTATACATGGTTTCACCAATATAATCAACGTTACCACATGGACATGTTAATGCATAGATAATATTACGTGTGTGACATGACTAGAAAAACAAAATACAACGATATCAGTCTAATTGATGAAACATACAGCTGAACAATTAAGAATAGCATGGTATCCATTGAGAAATGTATGTTGATGAGCTTGACTAAAGTCCACAATTGATTTTTTCACTCGATATCTCCTATCATATTGAGGATAACATAATGCGCAATTACCACATGCTGACAATTCATAACGAGCTTCCGGTTCTTGTAAACAAAATAGACCTTCATTTAGTGTACGAGGACGTGCATAACGAAGTGAACACGTTTTCATGTAGAACATATTGACTAGAAAAGTATGATTTAAAAACGAACGAAGAAAAAGAATAACACTTACCATCAAATTGCAAAAAGAATTCCAATGCAAGTGGATATTCTTTTTCATCGATTTTTGAAATATTATCAAGTGAAATATTGAATATACGCATGCGTTCAAACATCAACAATTTCATATAGTTATTCAATCGTAAATAATTATAATCCAATACAGCCATGTCTACTTTCAAACGTTCAAGTAAATCGACATAGAACATTTGATATTTCTCATATAGAAACGATGGTATCGTCGAACCGTTGGTTATAAAATCGAATTCTGATTTGAATGTGCCCAAGTGTCGCCGTTCTAATTCGGTTCGTGTCAATCGTTGTGCTATTATTTTCAAAAAACAAAATATGAATAATCTACCTTCAATATACATACGTGATATGTTCGGCAACAATGGATCCCCATGCGCATATTTATCCTTTGTTGGGTAGCAAGGTAATAGAGGTAATCGATTACCAAGATTTGGAAATCGCTCGATCAACGGTTTCTTCGTTATCATCATTTTTTCACTATCTGGCGTACTCACTTCATCTTTTATGTCAACATTTGGTGTACACAGATCAATCATTATTATCTTTTCGTTGGTATCAACATCCATAGTTTGTATTTCCTATAGATTAAAATGTGAATACATAGATCAAGCATTGTGAATAATTACCAAACTTAATGTACTGGGTCGGTGTGATCTAACTAGTGTCTTATCATCTTCATTGATTTCAATCATGTCCATAATGAACGAAACAAAATCTATCTAGAAAATCTGATCTAATTCGTTTACTACAGTTAAAAAACAATGAAAATCAACAACTATGCATAATTTTATTCAAAATATGGATTAACACTCATAGTCGTACGATTGAAATGGATCATAATCGAATGGTGAATATGAACGGGACGAGACTATGTCATTATGATCATCATCATCGCTATTAGAAATGTATTCATCAGATGTAGTAGATGATGCAGACATAACAATGCTTGCGTCATTCTCATCCAGATCCTTGCGCATGTTATATGAATCAGATTTCTTTTCACAATCGATGCAGCCACAATGTGTATTGACGCCCAGTGAAATCCCACTAGGTACTCTTGACCAAAGAAGAAGGCTAACATCGACCACTCGTCTTGAAAATGGTAAGATGAACTAATAAATAAAAAAGAAAGCATGACTTCATATTCAGTGATTGAAATATAATTCTCAATACTTACTTCACCTTTTTCATTTAATTCTAATTGAGCTATCATTTTCCATTGATACCCATAATATTTCTACAACAAAAATATAAAACATAGCATATAATATAAAATTACTGATTTTCTTCTACTTACAGGATCATCTATTCGGTCAGGTCTTAAATCGACAATATCCTTTCTTTCACGAAGAATAATTGACATATTGATATCGTCGATAATTTTTGAATCTGTTAATCTGAAATAAATTTTTCAACGAGAAAACTCCATTCAACACAATCGCGAACAAGGCAGTGTGGTTTGTATCATCATTTAAAATCCACTTTTATTACAACTATAGAAACAGTTACAAGTTCGGTGTTCAACGTTGTAAGTCTCACAAAATCAATCAGAATAACACGGAAAAAACAACAAAATAGAACAGAAAATAGTTATTCACATATCATTTGTGAGTCGTCGCACACTTGTTGTAAATGTTCATGGAAATGATCCAAGACACCCACTAGTGAGTCACATACAACACAGATATTATGTGAGATTTCTCGAAATATATCGATTCGTCGACTTAGATCGACGATTTCTTCTCGTTGCTGATTCCACTGCTGTTGTAGCGCAACAAGTTCCTGTTTGACGCAACATCGACGATGACTTTCTGAAAAAAAGACAAAGCACTATAAGTAAAATGTGACGTCGAATAGAACTTACCTTCATTGACGTTTTTACTCTGTGTATCGTTCATTGTGTTGCAGACAAATCGATTAAACATGAGATATTTATCTACAAAACAAGATGATCCACTTCATTCATTTCTGAACTCGAATTACATCGAAATAACAAGAAACAAAACGACAATAACAACAAAGACATGATCAATTAAATATGTATTCATGATGATATTCTAGTGTTTTTCATTATTCTTTAACAAGCGGTTTAGGTTCATGCAAAGAATCGAAACCATGAAGAGCCGCATTGACGACACCATGTACTGAATTAAACAGTTCATGAAATATTTGAACTTGTTTATTGAGTTCCCAAAGATCACTTTGTTGCCGCTCACAATCTTCTTTTAACGTAGCAATCAGATTCTTGACACAACTATCTGTGTTCATCTGAGCTATTTTATTGACCATTATATTTTCACAAGCTACTTCTTCAACCTGTTGACAACCTTAAAAAGAACAGAAAATGTACAATTCTACTTTTCCGAAAACCGAAAATAGAGAATTCAATTGCAAATTACCTTCCAGAACCGTTTGACATTCATTGCTATTCATGCTATTGCAGATGAAGAATTTACCAATAAAAAATTCAATCTACAAACAAGAACATCATGATTAGTATCAAACCATTAGAAAATTTCCTATATTCTAGTATGAAACGAATATAAACTGTCAAAACCATTCATTGTGTCTATACAAACGATTATTGAACCGAACGCTGGGACTTTCACACAAACACACTTTTTCACAAAGCAAGAGCCGCAACGTCTAGCACTTAGAGAATATTGCGTAAAACAAAGTCTCTTCATGAGATATCGAATCGACACCATAACAATGTTATTCCATTTCGAAAGATGGAACATCAAAGTTATATGCCTATCCAATATCCCAGAAAGAGACATATTCTTACCAAGATCCCCATAATCATCTCATGCTACCGATGAACTGTCACTGCGATCTCCATTTCTTCGTACTACAACTATAACTGTAGAGTTGATCGTATAGTTTTCATCACAACTAGGTCACAAGATTAGGAGCACCCGTGTAGGACACAAGACAAAGGGCCTTTAGCGTTATCCGGGAAACACAACACGAGGAGGCTACCTTGATTCGTTTCCCAAAACAAATGACGAGAACAACATACTTACCTTCTCACTCTTGCCTCTCGTCGATCACCATCGATATTTCAAAACACGCATGTGAGACCAAGCAGTACACTATGAGTGAGTTATTAGTACCAGTAGGAACTTGGAAAAATTGCATAAAAAAAAAGTCTCTTCCTGAGATATCGAATCGACACCATAACAATGTTATTCCATTTCGAAAGATGGAACCTCAAAGTTATATGCCTATCCAATATCCCAGGAAGAGACTTATTCTTATCAACATCCCCATAATCATCTCATGCTAATGATCCAGCATCACTGCGATCACCATTCCTTCTCACTACAACTATAACTGTAGAGTCGATCGGATAGGTTTCATCACAACTAGGTCACAAGATCAGGATCACCCGTGTAGGACGCAAGACAAAGGCCCTTTAGCGTTATCCAGGAAACACCACGAGGAGGCGGCCTTGATTAGTTTCCCAAAAATAATGACAAGAACAACATACTTACCTTCTCACTCTTGTCTCTCGTCGATCACTATCGATATTTCTGAACATGCATGTGAAAGCATGCAGGCCACTATGAGTGAGTTGTTACTACCAGTAGGAACTTGGAAAAGTTGCATAAAAAAAAAGTCTCTTCCTGAGATATCGAATCGACACCATAACAATGTTATTCCATTTTCGAAAGATGGAACATCAAAGTTATATGCC